ATCCAAAGATTTGAAGCCATTAAGATTTTAAGCCATTTTAAATTGTAAAGAAATCTGTGTTTTTGAAACAAAGACAGCAGAAGTTAATGATTTATCTGAATTATATAGCCTAATGTGTTTAGTGCTACAAAGTATCATATATCTTTCAAAAAAAAAAAGAATAAATTCTTATCAAAGGGGAAAAAAGTTTTTGTTTTTTACCCAGACATTTAAAAAGAATATATTTTAGAGCAGTGAGCACAACACGTGAAACTATGAAACCTTGATATGATTATCCAAGGTTTTCATACCATCAGAATCTTATACCGGCCCATATCTATTCTATACAAATTAAAAATTCCCATAAATCTTAGTTGACTTGAAGCTGAGAATAAATAAACAAAACATTTTTAAGAGGCATATATTAGAGCTGGGGCAACATTGTGGCGCAGTGGGTAGCACGTTTGCCTCACAGCAAGAAGGTCATTGGTTTGAGCCTCGGCTGGGTCAGTTGGCATTTCTGTGTGGAGTTTGCATGTTCTCTCCGTGTTCACATGGGTTTCCTCCGGTTGCTCCGGTCCAAAGTCCAAAGACATGAGGTATAGATGAATTGGGTATGCTAAAAATTGACCGTAGTGTATGTATGTTTCCCAGTGATGGGTTGCAGCTGGAAGGGCATCTGCTGCATAAAACAAGTGCTGGATAATTTGGTGGTTCGTTCCGCTGTGGTGACCCCAGATTAATAAAGGGACTAAGCCACAGAGAAAATGAACGAATGAATATTAATGCTTCATGATATTGGAAAAAACTGACATTGCAATTTGTTCCTTCACTGCAATATATATTGCAATATAAATTAAATTTCACCAGATGACTTGATAGCTCGTAAAGATTGGGTTGATTGTGTAGGGGAGTGTATCTGCATAAAATATCATTTTAAAATGACAAGCATAATTGTGATAAAGAAAAAGGTTTGCCTCAAATTCAAACACATGCAAATAATAAACTTTCCCTTAAAGGTTTAAATTTGAAATGACTCCACAAGGTTATAACTGAAATGTCTGGTCAACTACAATCCATTGCAGATCCCTGCGATGTGACAATTGCAGACTCGCACATTACAATATTGATGCTGAAATAATATATCGTGCAGCCCTAGCACATATTTTACTCCATAAAACAAGTTTTATAAATATGTTATACTGTAGCAAAATCAGCTGAAATCTTTTATATACCCAACATGTTAAATGAGCTGTGTTAATCTATGACAACTTTGTGGCCAAGTGTGGGCCAGTTGGTGGCAGATATTTATGACTTTGTATATTTTCATATAAGCTGCAGCAACAGCTAACTACAGGACTTTTTCTATCTCTCATTTCTTGTGAAAAAAACACACACACACACACACTAAAGGTATATGCCATTAGAACAGCATTATGGTGTGTGAATGATAACAGAAATTTTATTTTTGGGTAAACTATCCATAGGTTAATAGTTTAGTTAAGTAGCTGCTGACTAGCCGCTGGATGTCTAGTAGTTGAGCTAAGAAAGAAAATCCAGACCAAGTTCAAGCATTTCATTACACTTTATCTCTGGTATTCACATCAGTGTTGAGAAGCAAAATGACAACAAGATAAAATTTCAAAACAGCTGCTCCAATGGTCAGCAATGATTAAGAAAGGGCTAACTAAAACAAGCCTGGCAGGACTTAGACTTACAGACTTAGTGACATCCATAATTAAACAAAATAAAATTATGCATGTTCTTTAACTTGATTTAACATTGTTCTTTTATTGTGCTAGGTAGAATTTACTGGACATTGAAACCACTCCTAGACTGTCCTGTAAAAGTCTTGTAAACTGGACACCCCACATCTGTCATTTGAGTTTAAATAATGATGGCATTACATTTAATTTGTAAATAATTACACTTATTCAAAACTGTTAAATGACAAAGTTAAACAAACAACTGGACATGTTGCTTGATATGTTCAAAGTATAAAATACAATATATTTTTGCTATTGTCTGTCTTCTAATTTAAAACCCTTGTGATTCACTGATGTAATTTATCTTTTTTAAAGTTATTCATTTAGTAACTCATTCTATTAGCTTACTCATTACTAAATAGAAAAATAACTTTCTCTTATAAGCAGACTAACCAGTGCCATCATCATGTCTATCATAAAATTTTAAGATAAAAGTATGGATAAAATTCAGGAACTTGCATTTAATTGAAATGATACTTTGTTTCTGTACGACTGTAAGACGAGTTCTTGTGTTAATAAATAGCTCTTATTTACTGTACAGCACTATATTTGTAAGCATTCATATGGATTTACTGCTTGTACTTTGACACCTTTAACATTTATTAAACATAAAAGATAAATGATTGACATTTCAGAAATGATACAAATCACCTAGTCTATTCAAAATTATTATTATTATTATTTGTGACTATTTACCATATATATTAAGTTACAATAAAATGCAGTAGCAACATTAAAGCCTGCTTTATAAGTTGACTATAAGCAGTAGACTAGACTATTAAGAGTTTAGCTTTTGTCATGATGTGGAACTGACAACTGTATAAGTAAATCTGACTGCAGTTCAGTGCAAGGGGGCAATCCTCTGCCCAGAGCCACTGTTCAAGAGTCAGGATGAATGTAGAACTTGTTGCCGCAGTGTCGCAGTATATTACTGTAAATGCTGGACCATTGCCATGGCTACCGCATGAAGATGATGGGCTGTAGGCAGCTGCAGCACTGATGCCTCTTCATAATGAAAAACCCATGTTTAATGGTATAAAATTAACGTTACACCCACAACAAAGACGTTATTTTTCTGGAGTCTGTGTGGTTCCCATAAGCACTTGCACTATTTCACTATTTACAGATGACTTTTGTGTAATATACTGCAAGGCAGTCTTATTAAATTACAGGTAGTGCATAAAGAATAATAAACAACTGTATTCGTGATAATTCGTGAGTATGTTTTATAAGCGAACATTTTTTATATATAAAACAGTGGCAAAACTGTCAGGAAATGTGTATTTGACTATATGAGCTCATTTGACATTAAAACAACCATGCGTTGTCAAAATAGCTCTAAAACTGTGTTTTCTCTCTCCCTAAGTAGTTGTTAAATAGAATCGATAGCTACGGTTCCATGTCAAGGTAGGCTATGTATGAGCATGAGATGATAAACAAAAGCAGAAATGCGCGCAGCAGCGTGCCGTTACACCTGTTAGTGCGCATGCGCTTCAGGTGACCTGCTCTATGCCGCATTTTTAGGCATTAGAACGCGCCTATGATGCCCAAAAATGATGTACATGCAGAGAGCTAGCTAAGTTTTGACACACAGACATTAATAAACAAGCGCAGCTCACCTACACGTCTCCAATATATTGGTAATAAAATCCTGCGCTTAGAAGCCTGTTTATCCACATGCACACATCAAGAAGCGTCCGACTCAAGTTATTTGCTGTCGGTATCCTTCATTGCTCAGCGCAGTAAATCCACACGGTGATATCCTCTTACAGGCCCAAACACAATAACACCGCAGCGCCGTGTCCGTGTTCACGCATTCCTGCTCCTCCACTTTCTCTCATCAGCATGAGGGTTTATCCGTCCAGGTCCTGAGCTGGAGATTATTCTGATGGATGTGGAGTTAGACGCGTTGACTCCGCCCCGCATATACCGCTACACTATTTACTGTCATTCCGCAGGAATAACCCGCGTGTTCGGAGGGCGTGGATTCTGACAGATTCTCAAAAGACCCAGCAAAAACATCCGATGTGACATTTAGATTGCAGTGCTCTAGCGCTTGGTGCATCACAAGCACATTGAATTTAAAGATGCAAAGTCATGTTTTGTTATTGTATTAAATTACTGTCGCAGTTTTATGAAATGGTGTGACGAAACAGACACGATGCCAAAGGACTTATAACTGTATGACGTGGATGACCTCAGAGATATTACCGAAAACTTACGCAACAACAAAGCAATTCTACAGAAATCCGGGACAAAATAATATCCTAGTCAGAAAATAAGACCCAAATAGGGTACAATGTGTTGTTTTAGTTGTTCAAATAAATTTTTTAATATTAGCCTATTATATTTTTATACAAGAATTGATATATTATAATATTAATTATTTACTTATGTAGACATAGGTAAATGATTAATATTTTGAACACGAAAATAAAACATACAGGCTGAAATAGATATTGTGATTATTATTTTGAATAAGATGAATAAGATAATACTTTATTGGTATAATTAAATTTATTCATGTTTTATTTTTTATTTATTCATTTATTTATTTTAATTTCTTATTATCACCCACTGAATAATGACTATAATTCACATACAGTAGGCTGATGATGTTTGCCATGTCCTTTTTGTGTTTTGAAGGACAGTGCTGTATGCTTAACATACTTGATGACCCTACATATGTAATGTCTGTATGATCTATATTGTTACCTATAATTAGCATTTGTTGGACAGAGTTGTGTGAATAATGAGGGTGAACTCGGCTGCAGGCAAGAACAGCCTAACAGACCACAAGACCATAGATAAGTGTGTGTGTGTCTGTGTGTGTGTGTGTCTGTGTGTGTGTGTGTGTGTATGTAGTATACATTTTAAGTATAAAGTAGCTATGTTTTTTTATGTGCAATTCATTGAGCTTAAAGAAAGCATTTGCTGACCAAAAGTCTTTGTGTTTACTGTAGCTGCAGTGCAGAGTGTCAAATTCAAGGCTACTTATGACTCCTGTAAATATAGACCATGTCAGAGGATAGGATGTGTCCGTGCGTATGTGTGTGTGTGTGTGTGTGTGTGTGTGTGTGTGTGTGTGCGTGCGTGTGCGTGTGCGTGTGTGTGTGTGTGTGTGTGTGTGTGTGTGTGTGTGTGTGTGTGTGTGTGTGTGTGTGTTGTGTCTCAGGGAAACTGAGATAGATTCTTGCAGAGACTGCTTTGGATGATGATGATTTAATATGCTACCATACATATGTAACCAACAACTAGAATCAAATAATTCATCATTTTATTTGCACAGTTTGGGTACACTAATTTCTATAAGCTACAGTACAAGTTCTAACACAGTGAATGTAATGTTTCAGACAGAAATCTATAGTAGTATTTTTTTAACAGTAAAAACAATATTTCAGGCACTCAACAAATTATATTTACATGGCTGTTTCCTCCATTGATTCATCCCTGATTAAATTAGATTAGATTTAATTACAGGATTAAAATGAATAATTTTACTTTTAGACAAAGAGTTGCTGTTTACACTACAAAGATTGTTTATGTGAGCAAAACAAGCTATTATCTTATGCTGTACTAAATGAAACTTACTAATAAAGATGAATGCAACCTTAGAAAACTGTTTCACAGTATAACCATGCACAGCATTAAAATCAACACCTTGGATATATCAATAAATTACAGTAAATAATACTTGTAATGCTGTGATGGATACTAAAAATGATTCATTTCCTGCTGCTCATTTGATACTGTCTTGTTAGATATCCATTTTTTCTTTGATTTGGCATCCATTAAAAAATGATATGTGAAAATACTAGTCCCAAGAACAGAAGTTCAATATTTACTGATAAAACATGACACTGGGCTGTTATCAGACGCTAACATGGGGGACATCTACAAAAGCCTTAAACTTCCATCAGGCTCAGTGGGTTTGGGGTTGGACTGGTGTTACAGATCATCAGACTCAGGGATCTCAAAAGGCTCCAGAGAGACGGTGGGTAAAATTAAAGGTGTGCCTTCAGAGATCCACCCCTGGGCTGTCCTGTTGAAAGTGGGCCGCTTGGCTGAATGATCCTGAAGCTCAGGGTATTGAGGAGTATTCAAGTCCATCTCTGGAAGCTTAAAGGTGATTCCTCGTGGAGCTTTTTCGAAACCGCCAAATGGTGTAGCAACCCTGAGAAACAGAGTTTTATTTTAGTGAAGCATCTCTACAGGTGTACATTCTACAGTTTCTGATAAAAAAAGAAATTATATTTATTTAAATGATATTTTTAACAATATATCTACATGATGTACTGTTTTGTATATTTAAAATACACTGACAACCACCACTTAAATCATAACTCACTATAAACAAGCTTTTTCCGTGAGCTGAAGTAAATGCACAAGATCAGAAAGTGCCATGTTTACAAATACTAAACAGATATAATTGCAAACATTGAAACATCAGCAGCAAGATTCAACATAAAAAATCTGCATATCTTTAAAAAAAAAAGCTAAGCAAAAGAATTGCATAATATTCAATAGCTTTAAAATAATATGGATATTAGGTGACTATGCTTATGTTTTCTATGAGTTTTATGCTTATGTTTTGTCCTCTGATAAATAGACTAAATAGATTATAAATAGATTTGTCATTTCTAAAAGATGTAATGGTAACAGTGATTTACTTTATGATAACTGATGATAAATATGTTTAATAAATTTTTATTCATTTATTTAGATTTTTGTGATTAAATATTTTGCTCTAAAGTAACTTAAAAACAAAACTTTGCTGTAAATTTTATATTTATTATATTTATATATTTATCACTTTATATTTGAAATCAAATTGATAAGGTAATGATCAATTGTGTGTATTGATATCATGATGGGGTATATACAGCAGAAAATAATAATAATAATTATGATGATGATGATGATGATAAAATCTTGAACACCACTGTCATCAGTTCCTTTAAAAAACTATTGGGATTTATGGATATTGAGACTGCACCTCCTGTTCATTTCCTCAGGATGGTGCTGTACTGCTCAGATTAAAGGACTAAATGTTGTCTGTCCCCCCTTGGCAACTATATATGTCTCATACATAAAAAAAACTTTACAATGTAAACTGCCATTACTACTATTTAATGAAAAAAAAAAATATTACTAAGCATACATAACCTTTAAAACAATGTAAAAGCATTTAATGTAAATAGATCAACATATTTTATAAGGGTATTCTGTTGAAAGTAAATTGTTCTAAATACTTGCATGGGTATATGGTCAAATTGGGATTCTCAACAGAAAAACTGTGAAAAAACTAAGATTAAAATCGTTTTTTTCACTTATGTTTTCTTTTTAAAGCGAGATAATCAAGTTCTTTCATTTCGTGTGTTAGATTATGGTGGTGTGAGTAAATGCTGAAAACACTACCCACTTTCATTACTTTCAACTACTGTAAAGGGAAGAATCTGCACTTGTTATGATTTATCGTCTTCATTTATTTTTCTTATGATATTTGTTGTATTAATGCAGCACGGTGGCGCAGTGGGTAGCACAATCGCCTGACAGCAAGAAAGTCAATGGTTTGAGCCCCGGCTGGGTCAATTAGCATTTCTGTGTGGAGTTTGCATGTTCTCCCCGTGTTCGCGTGAGTTTCCTTTCGGGTGCTCTGGTTTCCCCCACAAGCCTAAAAGCATGTGGTATAGATGAATTGGGTAAGCTAAACTGTCTATAGTGTGTGTATGTGTATGTGTGTGATGGAGTGTATGGATGTTTCCCAGTGATGGGTTGTAGCTGGAAGGGAATTGGCTGCGTAAAACACGTGCTGGATAAATTTGTAGTTTATTCTGCTATGACTAAGCCTAAAAGAAAATGAATGAATGAATGAATTTGTCAAATCAGAACAGAGCAAATTTTGTTTGTCTTTTGTTAAATGTGAAACATTTTGTGCTGCCATATTGGCCAGGTCACCCTATAAGAAGAGATCTGGATCTGTCCTGATAAAATATATATTTTCATAAAAATGTAATTGAAACCAAATAATATACTATTGTTAAAACAGTATTCACATGTTTCTGGTGTTTCATGATGACCATAAGAAACAAAATGCAGTACCTATTAAAGCTTTTGTAGTCAGGCAGCTCTACTTTCGGTTCAGGCACTGGCATGTGAACTTTAAGTGTGTCAGCCAGTGTGGGGTCATTGATGATGGCCTCTTCCCAGGGGGAGTGGTAGGATTTGGGCATAGCTGTGGCATTAAACCTCTCTGGAGGAATGTTTGTCAAAGGACCTCCATATCCTGAGAGAAAAATACAAATAAAAATTCAGTGGATATAGTAATGAAGAGATGAAGGTTTAAATACATTGTAGTTCTCGACAATTGTAGTTAATCTTGTACAGGACAAACAATATAAATTAAAATGCGTGAACTGAAATTAAAATGAAAGGAGCAAAAGTAAATCAGGTAGATTAAACTGAAAGAAAATAAAATAACCTACAATTCAAAAAGCCAAAGTAATGCAAAATGGAGGTTTGTTTTTGTTCTTGTGGAACAATGTAATCTTAAAGACTGTTGCAAAGCAAAATCAGCAAACATTTACTGAACATTCAAACAGACACGCATACCGCTTTTAACCTTTTTAAAGTTACTCAGAGTGATTCACTCAGCTAGAAATAGTGAGTTGGGGTTGGCATGTGCTGTCACTATCATGTTCTCTTTTCACTCGCTCTGATTCCACTGCACTTGCTCTTTCACAAACGATACAAGGCTTTATAAGCATCTCCCAAGCTATTGAAAGTGGATAATAAGCAAGACTATAGAAAACCTCCTGACTCATGAGCCATTACAAATATACAATAAATGTATTATTTTTTATGAGCTTACTTTCTTCAACATTTTAAGAGCAATGCAGATGTGTATGCCCCTTTAAAACACACTGTTAACCCTTACTGTAGATTATGCAGTAAATAACTGTAAAATAGCCAGTGTTTAGCTGTAATGAAAGAAAACAGTATTTTACTGTAAAAGAAGCAGGATTTGTATGAAATTCTGTAGTGCAAAGAATAAATCACAGTAATTTACTCTATGTATCCATTACAGATATTTACTGTCATAATAAATGGTAAATTACTGATCAACCATTACTGCCCCATCTACTCTGATGCTTTATGTTGCTATTTATATTTATTATATAATTTTATATATATTTACTGTTCAGTTTTGATATGTGAATGGTCAGTATTGAGGGGAGAGTGGGACATTGCATTGATGATAAGCTGAATTTCACTGCAGCCATGTGTTTTCTTTGGTTTCTTTTATGTTTTAACATTGAGTATCAGGAGTCAACCAATGCCACAGAGATCATTAAAAGCTAAGCATATATGGATGAAATGCATTTAAAGGCAAAAATATTCACACAGAGCAAAGAAACTGTCATAATAATTCTTATAACTTTGTTTACGTTTCTATAATTAGTCTAATTTGCCTAATTTAACCTATAGTTCAGCTTTTAACTTGCACTTTCAACTGAATATTAGTATTTTGCTAAATGACTAGTAAAAATGTGTTATTTAAAAAATATATCTTAAACAGCACGTACATACATGTTTGCAGAGACTCAATGAATTTGTTTGGAAAACTTCAATTAAAGTAAGTAAAAGTGGCATTAACAGTATAGTTTAAAGACTTTCCTACATAAATGTATAAATCATGTAATTTTGGTGTTTTTTTATTATTACTACAGATTTGGGACTACATGAGGATCAGATTATTTATCATCATTTTTTTTTTCTATGGATGAAGTTTGCATATTTTAATTGTTTTTATTAAACAATATGTGCATAATTGTGATAAATGTAGGCAGTTGCTTTGAAAATATGCTATGCTCCAGGGGTGTCAAACTACTAGAGGGCCGAAGCCTAGCAGAATTTAGTTCCAGCCCTGCTTCAACACACTACCTTTAGATTTAGTTTGATCAGGTGTGCTTAATTAGGGTTAAAGCTTAACTGCACTCTTCCCCTGTAGATTATGCAGTAAATAACTGCAAACTAGTCAGTGTTTTGCTGTAATGAAAGGAAACAGTATTTTACTGTAAAAGGAGTAGAGTTTGTATAAAATTGTGTAATGCAAAGGATAAATTACAGTAATTTACTTTATGTACTGTGACAATAAATGGCAAATTACTGTTCAACCATTACTGTCCCATTTACTCTGATGCTTCATGTTGCTGTTTATAGAGACGTGCATTTTAAAGTCAGAAGACAATGATTTAGCCCTCACCACACTCCCACAGGCTGTCTTATTCTAAACACAAAGGTATTAGAAAAAGTTTTCAGAAAATGCTGGCTCTTTAAGGGAGCTAGGTGTTTGATTTGTTTACTGCTGAGTGTGCTCTATTCTCTGTCTATCAATTCAGATGTGAGTCTGATGTTTTAGGCTTTAAATAAGAATCTACAATGAGTAAGTAAAATGTGTTCAAATGTTTTTGAGGGTTTCTAAAATAAGGCTGTGTTTTAAGTTATATTGTTGTTATCTTGAACTGTGTACTTGAAAGCTACATTGTTAGCTAGTTAGCCTCTCCTCGCTTTTAAGTATATTTATTTATTGGATATTGCATATTGCAATAATGTACAGATGCTAAAAGTTTATGCACATAAAAACCAATAAATTCCATCACCTCAGTAAGTTAACATGTGCACAGAAATCATCACAGGGAATCACAAAAAATATGATACAAATAACTATCCACACACAAAAGCTCCATTGTCAGGTCCCAGGTTGTGAGTTTGTTGCTAAGTATTTTTCAGAGCTGTGTTTCCACCTATGAATTTATATTAGAAACAATAGAAAAGTTTGTGGTCATGAGATTTTAAAGTAGATAATAATTATAGCAATAAAAGATTGGATCCTTTGGATTTTCGGTGTTGCCGACTTTGTTTTTGTTTTTTATACTTATTTTGAACTTTTTATTGAGAATTGACACAGTATCTGCCTGTGTTTGACAAACATGTTTATATATATATATATATATATATATATATATATATATATATATATATATATATATATATATATATATATATATATATATATATATGTATATATAGAGAGAGAGAGAATATGTGTGTGTTCTTTTCATATGCTTATTTTTTCATTATTTGAAACTTTAAAAAATAAAATAAATATTTTGTGTTTTTTGCTGTTTAGTTTTTTCTTTTTTTGCATGGTCAGCATTGAGGAGAGAGAAACACATTTTACTGCAGCACTTTCTGTGTGTGTGTGTGTGTGTGTGTGTGTGTGTGTGTGTGTGTGTGTGTGTGTGTGTGTGTGTGTGTGTGTGTGCGTGCGTGTGTGTGTGCATGCATGCATTTTTTTATTTGATATGTGATTGTGATAAATGTTGGCAGTTGCTTTAAAAATATGCTATATACCATGGGGGTCAAACTCCAAGTTCATGGAGGACAGCAGCGCAGCAGAGTTTAGTACCCACCCTGCTTCAACATTACCTGTAGATTTCTAACAAGCCTTAATTAGTTTGATCAGGTGTGTTCAATTAGAGTTACAGCTTAAAGTCCCAGTCACACTGCACTTTTCTTCCTCTAGACTTCCATTCATACGCATGTCAATGCTGCAGACCTGGAATGCTAGCTCATGCAAAAAATTTCACTGTTCGCAGCATTGGAAAGTTCAAACTTGGAGATCTCTGACCTGCGAAATCACATCATGTGATTGCTTGAGACCAATCAAAGATCAAAACATGACCTGTCTGAACAAAAATTTAAACTATGGACCAGTCGCTTGTTTTTTCAATCTCTAATTATTTTGTTTAATCCCACTTCTTTTCGCAGTGCCGTATGACAGAATTTTGCATGCTCAAACGTTAGTGTGACCGCAGCCTTACTGTGCAGACCTGTAATATGAAAGATGACATTTATATCTGCTGATTTCTTAATTTTGTTATACATTTTCTGTTGTATATTTGTTTGCTTCCAAAACAATAAAATACATTTGTCTAAATTTTTATGCCTTCTATTTTTAATAACAGGTAAGAATACTAATTAATCTTAGTAAGACTATGACATACTATTAATGTGTATGCAGTATAATGCTGTGAGTTGTAACACCACAGTACAGTAATTAACTGTACACAGTTTCCAGTTAGTTACCACTACTGCTCTATTACAGTAATTAACTGGCAACACTGTTGCCAGCTACTCACTGTAATGGTTCGGTTACAGTAAATAACTGGCAACACTGTTGCCAGCCACTCACTGTAATGGTTAAGTTACAGTAATTAAATGGCAACAGTGTTGCCAGTTACTTACTGTAACCAAACTTTTACAGTGAGTAACTGGCAACAGTGTTGCCAGTATTCTACTGTAAAAATGCCCGGTAAGGTCTAACAGTGCAGAGTTGAGAATTTATTTAATCCACTCACACAAGCATTTATCACTTCATCTTTTTTTTAGTAGTATTTTCAGTAGTCGTCTTCAGTAGTATTTTATTGTTCTTGTTCTGTCTCCTAATGTCATTTAATTTCTGACTGTGAAACAATGGCCTGACTCAGTGTTTACAACTTAAATATGAGATAAACTAAATAATGTGAAATCTGTTCAAAAGATGTGCCAGTCTTACTGTACGCACGGTTACAAAACAGGGCAGTGATAAAAGTTTGTAAACAACCTTTGATTGCTAAAAGGTCTAATTTTACTGCTTATTTGAGGTATGCAATCTGAAACTGTTCTCCTATCAGCAGTTTTGGAACATATACAAACACTGAAAATCTCTTTACATTTAGGCTAAAAGACTGCTTTAATTTTTAAATTTAGGCATACTTAGAATATTTGTACTGAATGTTTGTGCTTTCATATTAGTTGTCTTTAACTTCTTCAATTCTATTTTTCAAAACGAATCCTCTTTGCACTTAAAAGTTTAGAATAACAATAAATCGTGTTAACAAATTTTAAATGATTAATAAAGGAATTATAATGCTTTGACTTATTGTTTAATCTCATTTACAAGCACAATAGCATATTTAAGGCTGCTGTATGGGCTATTTCTGTCGGTTCGCATCCCGTCCCTTTGCGCCCCCTGGCGGCTCATTCACAAACTGCGGTCATACACTAAAAAAAAGCGGCTCCTATTTCAAACGGCGGCGGTATATGACGCGGCGGTAATAGTCACTTTGAACTCTCACCTACTGTACAAACACAAGCAACAAGCACACTATAAAATGAGATAATTGAAAATGATCAGACAGTGAGCCATTCTAAAGTGACTGAAGCAGACTGTCCAGATAGAGGCCAAAGGGAAAGGTTTGTTGTTTCAAATTTGTCATTTAAAAAAATCTTTGCAATGTTTCTATCTCAAGCATGTCCCACAAAAAGGCAAATCTTCCATAAAAGACAAATGCATGGAAGGTAATGTGGGCAATCAGTTCAACACCACAGATGCAACTGGTTTTCTTTTTCAGCTCTGGATAGAGAGATCTTATCATAGAGTTTATCTAAGTTCGAACCTTCAGGAAACAAAGTTTCATGGTTTGAGTATGTTTTCTGCAGCAGGAGCAGGTAGCACTTTATAATAACTACACACTATGAATCATTTATTAATCTAGTGAGTTCATTATCTGTTAAGCATTAACTCTACATTAATAAACATTAGTAAGCAGTTAATAACTGCAGCTACAAATGCTGTATTCTTGTAACCAAGAATATAACCACATTTATAACCTTAATAATTGTGCTTACATAAAAAGTGACTGGTTGATTTTTCATTATACTAAATTAAGTATTGCATCATTTACAAACCATTTGTATTTAAGAGTAGTTGGAGGCTTTTACGATCATTCAGAATGAGTTAGAAAATGATTAATAAACTATTAAAATTAACATTTATATATCTTATTGTTCAGGCATATGGTAGTTAACTAATATGTTAATAAATGCTTTATTAACTCAACTTCATGCAGTTTTGTGACCTTAACTAAAGTGAGGACTATTAATGTTTTATAAATCCCTTATAAATGACTTGGTATCAAATGAACATTAATCTTTGCAATATCTAAAAAGTAAAATTATTGTTAAGTTTGAACATTGCTGAATAAAGGAATGTTAAATATGACATAAAATTGGATAAAACAACAACTATATAACAATTTAACAATATAATAGGATACTATGTTTAAACTACTTTTATTTTACATAAAGTTTCAAAGATTTTTTTTTTTATTTGAAGTACAGTTACATTTGTGTTACAAATAAATAAAGTTGTTCATGTTTTTCCAGTTTAGAATTTAACTGAACCTTTAAATGTCATTTATAAGGGCTTTATAAAGTATTAATAGTCCTCACTTTGGATTAGGTCACAAAACTGCATGAAACTGAGTTAATAAAGCATTTATTCACATACATAGCAACTGTTACTACAGTATATGCCTGAGTAATAAGATTTATAAATGTTAGTTTGAATAGTTTATTAATCATTTACTAACTCATTCTGAATGATCTAAAAAAAAACAACCAACTATGCTTAAATAAATGGTTTGTAAATAAAGCAATACATTCATTCATTTTCTTGTCGGCTTAGTCCCTTTATTAATCCAGCGTCGCCACAGCGGAATGAACCACCAACTTATCCAGCAAGTTTTTACGCAGCGGATGCCCTTCCAGCCGCAACCCATCTCTGGGAAACATCCACACACATTCAAACACTAAGGACAATTTAGCCTACCCAATTCACCTGTAACGCATGTCTTTGGACTGTAGGGGAAACCGGAGCACCCAGAGGAAACCCACGCAAAGGCAGGGAGAAGAAACCCACGCAAAGGCAGGGAGAAGAAACCCACGCAAAGGCAGGGAGAACATGCAAACTCCACACAGAAACGCCAACTGAGCCGAGGTTCAAACCAGTGACCCAGCGACCTTCTTGCTGTGAGGCGAGAGCACTACCTACTGCGCCACTGCCTTGCAAATAAAGCAATACTTAATTTAGAAATAGTAAAAAATAAAATATTACCAAAGTATGAAAGTACAAATATAAGGCAGATTATAAAGTCAAGAATACAGCATTTGTAGATTCAGTTATAAACCGTTTACTAACGTTTTTTAATGTAGAGTTAATTCTTAACAGATTATGAATTCACTATTTGTTGATGCTTAATAAATGGTTCGTAGTGTGTAGTTATTATAAAGTGTTACCAGCTTTTTTAATTATTTAACTTTAAATTCAAACAAAAATTTTATTTAATTTGAAGTAGAAAAAACTTTTTTCAATCTTAGATCAAAGTATAATCTTGCTTTGGACCAACCTAAAAAAGTATTGTAATTAGTTACATTTAGATAAATATATAAATTACCCTCAAATTATAGTTTTGATTTGGCTGAAAATTTCATATTATAATTTTATATAAATATATATACATATATATATATATATATATATATATATATATATATATATATATATATATATATATATATATATATATATATATATATATATATAAATAGTATTTAATACAGGGGCCAAGAAAGCTTTACGTGCTGCAATTTAAGAAAACGCATGCAGTTACAATAAACACCAGCAAATTAAGAAAAGATCTTCATCTGTTTGAAAGCACACATGCAATTTATAAAAAAAAAACATGCTGCATTTTCTCACAACACAAATAATTTTAAACACAATGGAAATGTTTTAAGGGGACCCAAAAATGTGACAGACGCTGCTGTGCCGTGAATATTGCTCAGTAAAGTTGTAGGGGATCTATGAAAGGTGAGTTTTTGTTTGTTTATTTTAATATCCCGATTCCCTTGTCTTTATTCATTCATTCATTCATTTTCTTGTCGGCTTAGTCCCTTTATTAATCCGGGATCGCCACTGTGGAATGAACCGCCAATTTATCCAGCACATTTTTACGCAGCAGATGCACTTCCAGCCGCTCCCCATCTCTGGGAAACATCCACACACATATTCACACACACACTCATACACTTCGGACAATTTAGCCTACCCAATTCACCTGTACCACATGTTTTTGCACTGTGGGGGAAACCGGAGCACCCGGAGGAAACCCACACGAACGCAGGGAGAACATGCAAACTCCACACAGAAACGCCAACTGAGCCGAGGATCAAACCAGCGACCCAGCAACCTTCTTGCTGTGAGGCGACAGCACTACCTACTGCACCACTGCGTCACCCTTATCTTTATTTATTACCCTAAATATCCATAAGCTAAATAACCAGGTCCATAACGTTTTAGGGTTTCCTTTAAACATTTTCACTGTGTTCCACTTTTTTCATGTTTTCATGACATTTAATCTGCTGTTTAAAGTAAAAATATTGATTTGAAAAAGGCAAATGTTTTTTAAGTTTTTAGGCGGTTGCTTTAAGACAAATTGAATAAAACAGATTATTATATTATTATTATATATATATATATATATATATATATATATATATATATATATATATATATATATATATATATATATATATATAAAACATTCAAATATTGAAACAACCAGGTAAAATTTTAGTCTAAACCTGATTGAAAATCTCGAAATTCTTTGGTGGAAAAATTGTTGCTGGAAATTTCATTTGTGCACCCTTGTTAAAAATCCACGTTGGGTTTAGCACACACCAGACAAATGTCCTACACTGATGTATACTTTAGGCTTTAGTAATTTATAATAAACCTTTTAGTTTATTAAACCTTTTAAGTTTCTAAAACAGAATATATGTTTGTTACCTCAATTTAAATGGGCAAATTTGGGCACTCATTGCCAATTAAATGAATATGAATAATGGTACAATTATCTTGAATTAAGACTATGAAATAATGTTTCAAAAATTGTTACTTTTGACATACCTGGTGCAATGTCCTCAGGGTTCGCTGGGTTTCTGGGATCTGGTGTATTTGGTGGAGTTTTTGATGCAACTCCTTTGTTTTCTGAGTTTTCAGCATTAGCTTGATTTTCATTCTGAAATGAAATACTAATTTAAATTGTGTCCACGGTATTTCCAACATTCATCTTTGACATTAACTTTCTACATTGTGCATTGTAGTAAAAGACGTAAAAACCGTTATATTGTATATTCTAAACAGCTTTATAATAAAAAGTATATTTCACATTGTACACAAAATGGCAATAAAGTTTTAAATGAAGCAGAAAATTGTTTCTAATAGTCCCAGTCTGCTTTGCGTTCACACTGTCATTGTTAAAACTGATCAGATGCAAACTGACATCGTTTTATCAAAGAAAACACACACACACACACACACACACACACACACACACACACACACACACACACACACACACACACACACACACACACACACACACACACACACACACACACACACACACACACACACACACAGTACCACACTTAGACACTAGAGATTGTTTTAAAGGTACAGTATATATTTTTTGCCACTAGAGGGCATGTATTCACAACAAACAAAGACATAGGCTGTTTCTCAATATGCATTTTTCAACGATCTTGCATCCTCGTGTAACATCATCATCAACTGCCAAATTTCAGCTCCAATACTCAAGAACAGAGGATGTGTGAAAGTTCCCGGATTTGTTATTGATATCGAGGACACATTGATGCAGACTTGAGCACAAAATTCGCTTGAGAAGTCGCAGAAGTCATTGCGGCTGAATAAGGAGGTGGGAAGCGCATTTCATTTAGATTTCATTTAATTAATTTTGGAGATTTACATTATTTATCTCAGGAGTTTCCCTTAACGAATCGGTAAAAGTAAACATTACCATGAATATCTTAATTAAGGCATAAAACATTTTGTGCGTATTTGCTAAAATTCGTATTAAAATTAGTTTTATTTGTATTGTGCAACATATATTTGTAAGATCTCTATGCATAGTATATAAAATAAAAAGGGGAAAAACAAAAAATCGTTGTATGAATGCTGTAATGCTTAAATCATTTTCCAATAAAAACGTGAAGGTTGTGTGACCATCAGGAAGAACCAGGGAAGAATGTAGCATCTCATTTCTCACAGGACGGGTTCTCTGTTCTCGCGGTCTCTCGAGTTCCTTCTTTCGAAATAACTTGGCAGGACCGGTCTCCACAAGAACGCAAGTCCGTTCTTTGCGTTCTTAGAATTAAGAAACAGCCATTTGATGATGCTTTGTGAAATCATTACAAGCCACTGGACTGCTGCAGAAATCATTTTTATGGATGATCTAAAATATTAGTAATAGACAAAGGTCAAAAGCTCAGCACAGCTTTTATTGTGTGCAGCACTGTTTTATCAAATTAAATAAATTTCAAGGTTCTAGTATAATGCTGCTCTTTGCTGTCTAAAGAAAAATACAAAATACTTACATGTCTTTGGTATTATCATGTTTTTAAAAAAAAAAAAAAAAAAAAAAAAAAAAATATATATATATATATATATATATATATATATATATATATATATATATATATATATATATATATATATATATATATTTACATATATATAAAATGTAGTATAAGTACATAAAACTGCTAAATATATAACACTGTTGTAGTGTTTTGTTTTGTTTTGTTTTTTGAAAATTTTTTATATATATTATATTATATATATATCTTATATATTATGCCTTTAATCAAAGCAAACACCTTGTTAAATCAAAGCAAACCTGTCAGTAGTGAACACACCTATTGACCTTATTCTTTCACATAAGAGCAGGTGCTGCCATTGAAACCTAATTGATTTATAGACACACAGCTAATTATGCTGCTTGATGTTGCAAACTGGTATTTGCTTATTATTTTGTTTTAATTTTTAATTATAGTCATAAACATTTTTGTAAACCAAGCGGTTTGACCATTTATAAATGCAAATGAATTGGAAATCCTAAAATAATCATATAGTAAAGAGTTCACTTGCTGAAAAATTCTTAGAAACGCTAATATATCAATATCATTTTCACAGCCAGAGCGATGGAGATTTAGTGACTTTACAATTTAAATGATTCAGGATTTATTACAAGCATTTACTCCAGAGATAGTACACTGTTTATTTGTTTGTTTGTTTGTTAGAGTTGATGTGATTCACCGTACATTATAGATTTATAGCCTGGGGTACTGTATATACAGTATACAGACAGTTTATTAATTATATATTCTTTGATTGAAACATTCATTTGATAAAACACAAGATATAATTTATAATTAAAGCACAGTGGTGAGAATGGACACACACAAACACACATAGACAAACAAACAATGATAAATGAAGTAGGTTGTCAGGGACGCATGGCAGTGCTGACCCTAAAGAAGAAGCATGTGGAAGGACACTGGGCACGTGGCATTTGCTATCTTCCATGTGTGGCTGCCATTCATTCAGCTGAACACATGCTTGCTTTATCAGCCAACAAAGTAACCCCACATACAGTAGCGCAGACAAGCAAATCACAACAACAGAACAATTCAGCTTTACTGCTCTCAATATCAGTGGTAATCTGCCAATTGGAACATCAAATTAGATCTTAGTCACTTTCATCATGTGAAAAGTAGGCTAGGTGTTGTTATTATCATAATATGTCGTAATATGTATTACACTAATTTGTATGATTTGTATTAGCTCATAATGATTTGTTATGCACAACATACAGACAGGCCAGTGTGTTTGTGTAGCTGCTACTTACATTAAAAAGCGCATTGGCTTCATTCTGAATGCTTTCAAAGGTGTATTTGTCTGACCTCCGTTGTCGCATTTTAAAAAGACGTGATCCACGGTTTGACAAGAGGGAAAGTTCCTCCAGCATGATGTCTTTTGGGGTGGAAAGTTTCTTTCCCAGGTCCATAGTAACACCTGTGTTCGTTAATGTCATACAATTTATAATTATGCATTTATTTATGTATAAAAATAATGTGCACATATAAATGAACTACACTGTAAATGAACATATTGTGTTTATATATATATATGTATGTAGAAATGTTTGTGTGGGAGGTGTTTAGCATTAATATTAATATATGAATTAATTTGAAAATGTATGGATCATGGCATTGAAATAATGATATTCGGTGTGTAAATGAATGGTATTCAAAATTACAGTATGCAATTTGTATTATTACAGTTTAAACGCAATAATGTCTGTTAATGACATAACTATGAAAGGTATGAAAGTCATGATGTGGATGTTTCATATATGATTTATATTTAAATACATACTGCATGTACAGTATCAGGTATTCAAACAACACATCATATATCATGATATAAAGAAAACTAGAATACAAAAAGGGTGCTAGTGTGAGTCTGAATGCCTGTGTTAGACACACATTCTGTGACAGGTCACGGGACAAATCATTCAGCCTTAATAGAAACTGGTAAGTTCATTATTGAAAGGTTAAACATGATGCTTGTGATTTTTTATAATTAATAGGAGGTTATACAAGGTGCAGTCATAAGCTATTGCTGCAGCATCTTTCAGTAGAGCTTAATATGCTATTCCTAAAAGATTCCAAACAAAATTTTAAAGAAATCATAAATTTTTTTCATGTGCTCCAATGTAAAATTAACGATCTTTCAGTAGAAGAATGTTTGGAAAGCTTTAAATTACAACCCACAATTTACATAGTAAGTAAACCAAATTTACAGCATAGTTTTTTTGTAATGCTAGTGTACCTGTACAGTCTATATCCATGTACCTACAATGTAAGTAAAAGAAAACAATATTAAAAGTTTAGAGAAACAAGGGAGTAAAAAGCACTCATTTATAGCTTTACCCTGTATCGATGAGAAACAAGAGGGTAGCTAACAGTTGCAATCACAAACTTTAATGTGAATCACATTAACTGTACAAGTTATTTTAATTCAGATATTTTATCCAAGTGGCTTGAAAATGAAGGAGTTCATGTTTTTGGATAAGTTAAAGTAACAAAAGCATGTTGTCACTTATCAAAATGGTAGAAAGATTTGAATTGTGAAATATAAACTCAAATGTTTTTCTCATTATTCAGTCATATTGCACCACTGGCTTCTTTCTTTGTGATGTTACATTATTATTTAACAACAAAAGTAACAACATAAAAGAATAGTATTTCAGCAGAAATTACAGAAAAAAAATGTTGTTTGCCCAGTTTAAAAGGTTTTCTTTCCCCAGTTGCATTGCCCACTTTTGATTAACAGCCAAATAAATCATTTATACTTTTGATATAAACCCCAGCTTTACAGTATTTAATCTCAAAGGTTTTGTAGTTGGTTTAGTTAAAGTTTTGCTTATGAATGTTTTCAGCTGCACTGCACTGTATATGCTATGTAAATTGAACACCAGAACATGCTCTTGTAAATTACCTCTACATTAGGCTGGAAATTAAAGGTGCATGTTATCCTCTTGTTTCCCCAAGAGTATAATAGGCTAGGTAGACTACTATTTAAAAAAAAAAAGTGCTGTAAATTTTGTTTGTTCAATAATTGATGTATTAATGTGGGCTGTGATCTAACTCAATACAGAATACTTAATTATCTCTAATGTAAAATAATCTAACAAAAACAATGCACTGTGTTCATTGTTTATTTTTTATTTTTTTTTAAACAGAGCAAGCTTTTTTTAAAATAGGAGAAGCTCTTGTTCTCCATGCTCTTTATTCTGTGCTCATTTCAGCTCCAGCACAGCTGTCCTGCCCCATCCTCCCAACTTTAGCCTCTGCAGAAATAGCCTGTGACAATGACAGAGTGAATCCACCGCTACAGGCAGCAGAGCATCCACAGATTATTTATGGCCAGAATGAGACTGTGGCCCTGAACCACACTCTAAATGTTGCCTTTTCTCTCTGTGATTGGCAGCTATGCTCTTTATTGTGCTCTGTGATTATTTGTTGCTGATCTGAGAGCAGTTTTGATAGAAGATTATACCGTTGACACCACCATGGACCTCATGGCAAAGGGCAGCTGCCTGCATCTTCCTCTCACGCACTGAAAGAGTGCTGAACTGTGACATGTTGCGTTAAATCAGAATTCCAGTGGTGCTGCAATACATAAAAGACAAAGATTTTTGGCGTGGAAAAAAATGTAAATCCTTTTTAGATGAATGAGATTGTCCTGAAAAAAACCTGTCTGAAAGAATGAAAGGTGAAAATGAGTAGTCCTGTATTAAGACAGTAAACTCTATAAATAGGATAAAATAAAATCTATTGTTATGACTTCAATTTTTTGTTATTATTCATCAAATATGTTGTCTTTTTTTCCATCACAGAATAAAAAAACATTGCAACTTTTATCTTACAGGTGGTAAAAAGCAAGTTGGGTTAGCTTAAAATTATTAAGTGTATGAATAATGTTCTCTAATTATACAAACTATACAGTATCGACAGTTACAGGTCTCAGTGAGTTTCAGTCTACTTTTTCCTTTTAAGGCAAAGTTTTTATTACTTTTAAAAAGTAAACCAATTGATCGCTTTTTACTGTGCATTTCTGACTTTTTTGCAAGTGGGATTTTGCTTCTCACATTTTTAAGTTTTCTACTCAGTATTGTGAGTTAATATCTCACATTTATAATGCTTTTAAAAACTTTGTTGATGTTTTTGTGAATAAAGTTAACGGTGAAAGTTTATTAAACTGGCTTGAAATTAAGTAGTTAACTTTATAATAAGTTAAAGTAACAAAATTATGTGGAATAACTTTTTTTAATGTAAAAATTCTTCTTTTTAATGAAAATATAAACTATAAAATTTATCACAATTAATAATGGTAAAATATAAACTGATAATTGTAACATTAATTCAGAATTCAAATGTAGTTTTTATAATATCAGGTTATTTCATATATTGCACATTTGAAATTTTATTTATTTATTTATTTATTTATTTATTTTGCTTATATTATTTTGACCTAAATCTATTCTGACTTTTTTCTCTGAACGGAAATAAACTCAGAATTAAAATTATAATATAAAAATGTGCAACTACATATTTTATCCTGTGGCAGAAAAAAGGCTTTCACATTAGTGTTTTTTTATAACTTAAATAAAAAAGTATACCATCACTCAAAAAATGATTGTTTAAACTCCTTATTTAAAGTAAGCTGAAACAATACACTTCTTAAGTTTTTTTTTTTTTTTTTTGGTACAATTTAATTGTTTTATGTTCAATTAAAGTTACAAAAATGATTAAGTTACTTAATCGATCTATGTTGGGACGTCATGAAGAAATTGTGTGGAACCCAGCTTTTTTTTTAAACAGTGTTAAAATACTGTAAAAATACACAACATTTTTCACTGTAAAAAATACACAATCGATTTGTGTTGGGGCAACATGAAAAAAATGACATTAACTTTTACAAGCTTTTAAGTAAATTGAACATAAAACAATTAAGTTATACCAGAAAACCTTTGATAAAACTTGTTTTAAATAAATAGTTTTTTTGAGTGTTCTTAATTCTTCTCTACAAATGGTTGATGATTAATATGCAGTTATTGATTTTTTAGCTGTGTAAAAAAATCCACACATTTAGGTTTTCCAAGTCACCAAACGTTCTTCCTCAAAGTGTAGAGGTGAAACTTACCGGAGCACTTGCCAACTCTTTACACAGAGCAAGATGTCATATGTCATGAAGTCATATAAATCAGTGGTTATGCATGAGCTGGTGACGGAACATTGTGTGCAGGTTGTTGATTGGGTTACTGAGGCCAATCACTGCCAACAAAAACTTTCTTGGCACATGCCATTACATCCTTTACTTGCTACTCTTATCAAACACTCTCAGAGGTCATTTTCTGACACTTTCTTTTCAATGTGAGTCGAGATTCAACTAGTTTGTGTAGTCATTAAATAATCTTTTTGTTAAAGGCTAAATAATATTAACACTCTCTACTTGCATACTTTGTTGTGTCAAAATTGTAAAACTGTATATTATTATATATATAATGTATTCATTATAAAATATTATATTTTATATATAAAAATATATTATATATATTTATATATTATATATATTTTTTAAGTGTAACAATAGTTGCGTTGTTCAGAAAGGGAAATTTCTAAACAATAATTTTAAAATAGCTTTTCTTGTGTTAGAACTTCTGCCTTAGTTATCATTCTCATTTATCCTCATCATTCTTTTAAATGACTTTTAAAATGTAAAAGACACCAATGCTTTGTTATCAGTTTAAGTGTCAGAACTGTCCAGAAAACACAACCCCAGCATTGTTATAAAGCATGGTTGTTATCATGTCATCACAGCACACATTCTCTGAAGGAAGGCCATCATCTTACCTGTTAGAGCTGCGTGTTTTCTTCAGTTCAGTACCTGTACAAAGCAAGAGGTTACTTTAGGTAGATCGATCCGGCCAGATTTGTCTTTGTCTCACACTCTGTTCTTGACTTACACTGAGGTGGGGGTGTGTGCGGGTGTTAGTGGAACGCCAGCTTACATCAATAGGCTAATTTTAGCTGTGTTCAGCACTCAAACCTCTCACAATGCAATAAGATGGTATGGAGGGGGAGGGAGGTACAGCTGTAGCCTATGCATAAGAATAAAGTGTACACAAGTCTATGTAAGTGGATAAAACCGACGAGGGTTTAGTATGTAAAACAGTTTGCACCATAGACTGGGATTTTCTTGATTGTCATTTAAGACCGATTTTCAGTTTCCATCATCATTTACTAACATTTACTCAAACTTCTCTTGTGACAAACCTGGTTGAGTTTTTTTTTCTGTTGAACACAAAATATTTTTTTTAAATGTTGGAAAAGGGTAACTATTGACTTGAATAGTATTTGTTTTCCTCCTATGGATGTCAGTGATGTTTCTAAAATTTATCAAACTATCTTGTTTTCAGTTCAACAGAAAATGGAAACTCATAAAGGTAAGGAAACATTTTGAGGGTGAGTAAATGATGAGTACATTTTTATTGTTGGTAAATGATTACTTTAAAATCTTTATTAATAATTCTATATATATATATATATATATATATATATATATATATATATATATATATATATATATATATATATATATATATATATACATACATACATACACTGTAAACTGTGACGCTCAATAATCAGGACGTGGAACCCAATTGCAAGTAAAAGTTTTTTAATGAAGATCACAGAAAAAAGACAGAAAAAATGGTGAGTGGCTGGAAGTACACAGTCTTTTAGCAGGAATAACAGTAGCGATCTTGGTCGGCAGCGCCGATAGAAAGTTCATGACACTCGTCAACAGAGTGAATCAAACAGTCATCATCAAAGGAACCGGAAGCATCTGAAAGTGAAACGAGGAAGCAACCGAGCCACTCACCACCAGCGAGAATCAGCGAGAGGATCCTGACAAAAGACAAAACACCGTGAGCATACAACGAACTGACAAAGTGAGACAGGAACGCTGAACATTTATAGGCACAAAAATGCGCTACACCTGTAGCGCGCTGATTAACAGCCGAGCGGTGACACGCAATAGTTCCGGTAACAAGGATCATGTGACCGCTCAGCTGATGCCACGAAAACAAACACCCACTGACAGGCACGCGAGTCCCACACAAGCACAGAGAGAGAAGCACACACACTTAGAAACACATACCATAAATAATGAACTGTCACTCAACGCAGACACTTCAAATGAAGAGCAGATAGATCCACAACCGTGACATTACCCTCTCCCCTACGGACGCCTCCTGGCGTCCCCAGATGAGCCTACCTGGCGATTGTAATCATCGATAAGAGAGTGGTCCAATATGTCCCCGGCCGGAACCCAACTTCTCTCCTCCGGACCGTAACCTTCCCAGTCCACCAAGTACTGAAATCCTCGTCCCCTCCGTCTAGAGTCCAGAATGCGCTTAACCGAATAAGCAGTCTCCCCATCTACGAGACGCGGCGGGGGGGGGGAACTGGTGTGTGCGGATTAATTGCCGTATGAAAAACGGGCTTTACTTTGGATACATGGAACACGGGATGAATTC